GCAACAGTATAAAATGACAATAGTTCCCACACCCCGTTAAAAGGAGGGGATATGAGGGGAGGAAGGAGGAGGGGGAGGGAAGGCAGAGGAGGGGAAAGGAGTGGAGGGGAGAAGAAGGGGGAGATGAAGGGGGAGGGAAGGAGGAGGAGGGAGGGGGTAGGGAAAGGGGAAGAGGGAGGGGAAGGAGGGAAGGGGGTTGGGGGAGAGAATGAAGGGAAGGAGAGGGGAAGGAGGGAGAGGGGGAGGTGGAAGGAGGGAAGGAGAGGGGAAGGGGAGAAGAAGAGGGGAGGGAGAAGGAGTTAAAGGGAAAAGCTAGTCTCGTTTTTTTCTTTTTTTTTAAATTTCTCTAATGTAGCTTGCCAAATGTTCAAATGTTCAGCCGAGACGAGCGCTGGCCTCCCTGACCTAGTTATGGGGAACGTCTTGCGAGTAAGTACTGACGTCAGAGGGTTTTTTTTTTGCATTTGTTTTAGCTTTTTATCGTTTTTTTTCGTTTTTTTTTCTCTCCTAGGGGAATAGGGTGGAGGAGGGAGGAGGAGGAGGGAGAGAGAGGGAAATGGGAGGTGAGAGGAGGAGGAGGATAAGGAAGAAAGGAGGGGAAAGCGGAGAGGGAAAGGTGAAAGGAGGGAAAAGTACAGGAGGAGGAGGTGAGAGGAGGAGGGGGAGAGGGAGAAGCAGAGATAAGGAGAGGGGGAGAGGGAGAGAGAGAGAGTGCCAGAGGGGGAGGGGGGATGAGGGTGTGTCTGGCGTGCCTACTAGTTCTAGTTCTAGGACAGTCTGGGTGATCGTCATTTTTTGTTTTAGTGAACACAGATTGATACGTATATGAGATATGCTGAGGGAGGGAGGGAGGGAGGGAGAGGGAAGGAGGGAGAGGGAGGGAGAGAGGGAGGGAGTGAGGGAGTGAGGGAGTGAGGGAGTGAGGGAGAGGGAGAGGGAGAGGGAGAGGGAGAGGGAGAGGGAGAGGGAGAGGAGAGAGAGAGAGAGAGAGAGAGAGAGAGAGAGAGAGAGAGAGAGAGAGAGAGAGAGAGAGAGAGAGAGAGAGAGAGAGAGAGAGAGAGAGAGAGAGAGAGAAAGACCGAGAACGAGAGAGCGAGAAAAAGAGAGAGCGAGAGAGAGAGAGAGAGAGAGAGAGCTAAGACACCCCCCACCTCCCCACCCACCCACACACCCTCACAACGCTCGCCTTGAACACACCCCTCTACAAAGAACCAAAGATACAACTCCGCAAATGCGTGTTACATTACCACAGACAAATAAATAAGATGTTTACAAACCCGTTACAGACAAACTACAGCGTCTATACTCGGCCATTCCTCCGTGTATGCTCGACACTTTGTCTCCAAACTGTGCAATTATCCATGTCGATTCCATGACACTGTTAATTAGGTGACTGGGTGGGTTTTGCATGGTGGAAGGGAGGGAGGGAGGGTGGGAGGGAGGGAGATAGGGAGGGAGGGAGGGAGGGAGAGAGGAGAGAGAGAGAGAGGAGAGGAGGGAGAGGGATGAGGCGGAGAGAGATGAGGAGAGAGAAGAAAGAGAGAGAGGGAGAGGGCAGAGATAGAGGGAGGGGGAGAGGGTAAAGGGGAGTGAGAGAGAGAGAGAGACAGAGGGGAGGTAAAGGGAGTGGGAGAGGGGGAGGTAGAGGGAGGGGGAGAGGGATAGGGTAAGGGGGAGTGAGAGGGGAGAGGTAGAGGGAGGGGGAGAGGGTAGGAGGAGTTTGAGGGAGAGGGAGAGTGGAAAAGGGTGAAGGGAGAGGGAAGAGAGGAGTGAGAGAAAAGGAATAGGGAGAGAGAGAGAATGGAAGGAAGTGGAAGTAGAGGGAAGAGAGAAAAGAAGAGAGAAGAGGGAAAAGGGAAGAAGGAAAGCAAAACGCTAAAAGAGACAAGGACAAAATCAAAACGGGAACGAAAGAGAAAGAGATGAAAAAAACAAGACAATGACACTAACAAAATGAACACACACTCTAAGTATCCTAGCCTCCGGACTCGCTTAGAAAAAAAAATATAACAACCACTAAAAATGAGTTGTTTAAGAGAGTTAAACACGGGCGTCAACCAGAAACAGTTTCTCTCTGGAAATGTTGGTCAAAATGCCTATATTACTACCGTTAAAGATTTTTTTTTCTTCTTAAAGGTTAAAAATTACATATTGTAATAGACTTTGTAAACTGGTCATTGGTTTGCATAACCACAACCGCTAGAGATATATCTTTTTTATCTAGTGTATTTATGACTGTGTCTATCTATCTATCTATCAGTCTCTCTGTCTCTTTGGATATCTGTCTACCTATCTATATTTATCTATGTGTATATGTCTGTCTGCCTATCGATCAATCTATCTATATATCTGTTTGGATATCTATATATCTGCCTGCCTGTCTATCTATCTATCTATCACTCTATCTCTCTATCTATCTGTCTATCTACCTACCTATCTATTTATCCATCTATCAATCTATCTCACTATCCATCTGTCTATCTACCTATCTATCTATCCA